TATATATATATATATATATATATATATATATATTAGACATATAGATATATATATATGTATATATATATATATATATATATATATATATATATATAATATATATATATATATAGATATATATATATATATATATATATACATATACATACACACACACACACACACACACACACACACACACACATATATATATATATATATAAGGTTGCTGGTAGCATATATGTACACCTAACCAAATTACGCGAGTTGATCTGCATGTGTTTGTAATATATTTGCAGGATATATTTGCAGGATGAGAATCAATGTCGTCGCTCAAATTATGATGAAGATTAGCCTAATGGGGATATATAAGATAGAGAAAGTATGGAGAAGTACATTACAAACCGAAACCATAGTGTATAGGTACGCACCTGTATAGAACGTCAGATATAGCTAATTGTATACACAAGCGTCAATATTGCTGAGTACCCAAACCTTTGTATATTTTGTTGTTGTTGTGTCAGATTGCAATCATGATGGCTGGATCAAAATTCACAGAATCAGAAAATTTTAATCCACTACTAGCTTTCTCAGCTCTTTATTTTTAATTTGTGTATACATAAATATTATACTCTTTCAGAATTTCTTACAGAAACTATTGTATCATATTTCAAATTGGGATTCTTTGCTAACAAACTCAGATTAATAGTTTACGACAAATATGTTTAATACGGTTCTAAATTCCAACTGATATATACTCCCAAATAAGTTTTGTGGAGAATAGGTGTATGATCGAATAGCTTTTCAATTAAAATATGTAGTGACTAAATAATACAACATATTAAATATAGTCGTATATACTGTAGGTATTGAAGTTCGCCAAATAATAGCACTTTTGTTGTGGTAACTATTCTTTTCCGCCAATTTTAATCGGCGAAGCCTTTCTATGTGTACATTTGTTTATGTTTTGTTTTGAAAAAAATACCAGAGCAGAACTTCAGAAGTTCAGACTTCAGAATGAATTCGAAACAGGAAGCTTGTATTTGTCGTTAAAAACATTTGAAAGCAGAGTAATATTTATGTAAATACATAAATCTCAACACACCGGTCGTGTGTATTTAATACAAGAATGTCGTTTATCCGTCGCATATACCATCGCGTGTTGGGTGGCGGCAAAGCATAGTGATCGAACCCATGCTCGAATATCAGCTGTCAAGAAATTCTCTCACACACTGGGATAAAAATGAATATCGGCTACAGGGCTACAGGCCCACGGGGACGGATTTAGTTTATACCAACCAGCGCAACGAAAATAGGCCTGCTACAGAGAGTATATACAATACAATACACAGAATTTAGTTTACAGTATCCGGTTAACGCTATTCACAACAACACCATGTCAAATACTAACTTCCGACCAGGAGACTGGATGTGCCCAGCATGCCAGAACCATAACTTCGCTCGTAACCAGTCGTGCAGAAAGTGCAATGGACCTCGTGTCGAGGGAGGTGGCCCACCGATGCATGTGCGCCAACCAGGACCTCCTATGGGAGGTATGGGACCCCCTATGCATGCAGGCAATCCTCATCAAGGTGGTATGCCTCATGGTGGCGGTGGTATTCCCGCTAACTTCAGACCTGGAGACTGGATGTGCCCGGCATGCAACAACCACAACTTTGCCCGAAACAACAGCTGGTATGTACTCTTTGATATGTGCGACTGCTTAAATAGTTTGTCAATGATTACGTATGTGTTGCTGTTGACCGCAATTTGCACGTGTACTGCGTTTGTAAGTGTCTATGCTTGTTTCTGTCCAAAAAAATGAGAGCCCTTAATATTTTTCGTGTGCATCATGCGCACATGTTAAATGCGCATGTTAATTGCGCAATTTTGTTGTTAAGGCGAGTGTTTTGTATCGTTATATATGCATTCAGTATCTCCCTGCAGAAGAGCGATGACTTTGTCTCGTGAATGCCTGCTCTGGGTCGTAAGTAATGCCACAGTACAAACCAGGAACAGCGAACGGTACAAGCAACACTGGGTTCACTCCGGTTGTTCTATCCCTAGCAGATCTACATTCCTTTATAGTACTCGCAAGTTGTTAGTCATAATTATTTTTGATATGTTTTTATCTTTTACCGATTATATGGTGTGCAGCGTTTGGTAGACAGTGGGCAATATGCGTAAGCAATATGCTAAACAATTTTATACCATCAGGTATCTGTACGAATTTCCATATTGCTGGAACGATCTATTTCGTAAACGCACTTCTTACTATAAGAATTGGCCTTAAATTCCACGTTCATACTCACCTCGATGCCCCTACATCACAAAATTTGTTTTACTATTATAGCCGGTCATGCTACGCACCCAAACAAGGCGGACCTCCCGTCGGATTCAACCAGGGATATCCACAACAGGGGGCGTACAACGACAACAGAGGACCGGCCAACTATCACAGTCATGGTGGTGGAGGTGGCAGCAACTGGCGTGCTGGGGATTGGCAGTGTAACTGTGGCTCACACAACTTCGCCAGCAGGACGGTACGTAAGCGTTATTGATATTGTTGTGAACTTGTAAAATTGTATACTTGTATCAGCTTGCTACGAGTATGATATGTATCTGTGAATAGAAATCTGTGATGCACTTCCTTAGTCGAAAACTAATATAGCCTCTTTGGCGCGTGCTATTACTGTGAATCGAACGGCGAGTACTTCACGTCGTTAGCCGATGTGACATATATATATATATATATATATAATTTTTCATCCGCTGTGAATAATTTGGAATAACTTTTGTACGCGTATTCAGCCAAGTATTGCTTGCACGTGGTCGTGTGTGCAACTCTATCCTCCCTGAAACCTAATCGTTTTCTACCATATCTGATTGTGGCAACTGAAGAGGATTACATCAAACACCAAGTCCCGTCTTACCAGTGAGCAATGAATGCCTTTACGGGCTTTGAATGTACACTTTTAGCCGTGGTCCATATTCCGATTATGTGTTTTGTTTGCGGAATAGTATTCGTTAGTATTTACACATGAAGCTGTAATTGTTTGATAATTAATTCACGACCCGAATGTTTTCTACCGGGTGTTCCCGTTATACAGAACTGCAGGGATTGCAATATCCCCCAGACCGAGGGAGCTGTAGAAGGTGGGGCCCCTCCCGCTATGCAGCAAGGTGGTAACTACGGAGGTGGTGGTAACAACAACATGCCGTCTAACTGGAAACCTGGAGATTGGAAGTGTGTCGCATGCAACTACCACAACTTTGCACGTGGAATTACTTGCAGACAGTGTAACGCTCCTAAGCCTGAGGTTATTGATGAGACGACCATTGATGAGGCGTAAAGACTGGAGAGCTTAGTACTAGTAGACAGTTGAGACTAGAGGGGTTTAATAATACATACATCAGCTAAATTTGAAGGCGGTTATGTATATATGTATGAAGCATATACCGAAAATAGATAGAGGGAAGACATATAGGGAGGGATTCTGCGGGACGGGAGAGGTGTTGGAAATATATCGGAAAGGTAGCATACGGAATGAATAAGCTGTAAATCAATAATATTAAAAGGCATATCGCACGTAAAATCTTGTTCATATACTTACGGAATGAATTATTGGCGACCATATCGATCGCCAATGATGTCCTTCGGCGAGTTTAGATCAGAATTCGACGTCCACTAGAGAGCAAACTCGATCTATAGTAAATCAAATATGTCAGCGGTGACATACAAGTCAATTATACTATTCCGCTGCGAGTTGCTATTAGCTCCGTCAATCGAGGCATATATTTAACTATACTTATGAATCAATACATGGCTAAAATCTAGGTATATCAGCTGTGACGTGCAAGTCTTCCAAACTTTTTTTGCTGTGGATCGCCAAGACTACCGTCAATTGAGGCATGTATATTTTAACTATACTCGCGAAATCACACATGGTTGCACACCTCCAGTACTATGCGACGAGACGACAGACTTTGTTTGCAAGTCAAGAGTTCCGTGGCACGCGACCTTGCATAAAGCACAGTGTTGCACCTTGTATGTACCGGCTGGTTACAGGGCCTGTTTTTGAAACTGTTTATACGCTAGATACACATCGTATGTGGTAGGGTGTAACTCCAAAACTTCAACTGTATCGCTGATCATGAGCCCTATGCCCACCATACTCAATCCTGTCGCCAAGTATGCATGAAAATTGTCTAGTACACATACCGCACTTCTGCCGTAAGCAAAAAGTTCGGCTTTAAGTGACTTCAGATAGAATAGCCATAAATGATAACCTGAGAGGTGAATTGCGGACATATTCCATCGCCTTACCTTTCTCAGGAAGGGATACCCAGGCGAGCTTGCCGTGTGTTATACACAGACGAAGCATATGTATAAGAATTCGCTCGCTGATTTGCATCATCATTGCGTACCAAATCAACGAATTCGTTTTGTATTCACTCTCTATCAAAACCTGCTTGCTATTAATTCGAGAGACGAGGTATCCGGATATGGATATCTATGCGTATTTATGCCGGCCTCGCAAGCCACGGGTTTGCACACGATGTAGAATCTTTCGATGTTTGTCACCAATCGGAACGATTCTTATTTTACTCAGAATTGCTAATGACAACCGATTTGGGAGGCCTAGCATCCGGGTCTGTCCATCCTCACGTTCTCGAATCGATCCTGCGTGCCATATAGATGCGCGTGGAGGCAGTCTTGCGATATTTACACATAAATACTCTGCCCGAATGCGAATCTCCAGCATGCATCTCAATCGGGGCGCAAATGGCTTCTGGCAGACGAGAACACGTGTTCCTTTGAAACAAGTCTGGTTGTTGACAACCTTCGTACAATTAGGTAGCTGAGCGCCTCCATTTGGAGCGCGGAAGATCTTGCGATAGTTGTATACTAGAGCTTCTAGAAATGAATACTTCCAGTTTAAGTGTGCCTGGATCCTCACTATGGAATCCATCGCTTGTGCAAAGAAGTGTCTGTTCAAACCTTAATAAAAAACTTGCACACATGGACACTTTACAGTTGTAAGTGTGCCTAGATGACTCACTATATTTTCGCTCTAGAGTACCCTTGTTTGTACAGGGCTGAAATTCTATTGACGCCCTCATCAAGGCTACAGAAATGGATTACTCAGTTCTCACCTACTGTTATATTCTCGAAGCACTTTCTTCAACAGGTCGAGAAACTTGGCTCCACAGAATCTATCTACCGGTGTTGACACTATCTCTTTCGGACTCATAAACACGAACGAGTCCAACTCTTCCAACAATGTGAATGATTTGGCTTTGAAGAAGCTCGCTGACTCATCGATGTCACTGTGTTTATCAGCAACCAATCTATACTCATAAGTGTATTGCAAGTCTGTTCGTGCAATGTTATCCTTGGTTAGATCAGCTGGGTACGTACGATTAAACCAGAACGACCGCGTGCTCTCCAGTACAAGACCATAGTCTTCTGGGAGCCACTTACTATCAAAGCCTCCTTCTTCTCGCACACACCTTAATGCACACGCGTCGGCTGTTTCATTGATTTTCATGTGCTCACCCATTGAGCTGAGAGTTTTTGGACATATGTGCGATTGGCTAGATCGTTCTGACATGAGTATATCCCCATCTGGCGAGATGATATGTACCCAACATCCCATATGCGGAAGACCTGACTTGTGTATGGTTTCTATATCAGCTATATGCCGTTCAGGAAGCACCTCCAAGTGTTCCAGGTGCTGGCTGGATAAAGCTACAGATGTGTTACCTTCTTTCCCCCCGTTAGTATTGAGCGTAATACTGCTACCAAGCGTACTAGTAGGCATATCAGTGATCACTTCGGTTTGTTCATAACGACTTATTGAGTTTTGACCTTTACCCTGTGTAACTGTGCTGGCGTCAGGGACAACCGGATCAGGTGATTGCACGTAGAACGAGACCATCACCATTACAAGACAGAACGACATAGCCGCCTTGATCTTCACTTCCAGGCTTTGCTTCATGGTCAATATCCCTTATAGTCACACAACACACAAACTTTCAATAGTATCGGATAATGGAGTTGATACGCGGAAGGTTAGTTCTATAATCAATTTTCGCAAACATAGGTCAGGTCGTTCTGCTATGTTTCTATTTAAAAGTTCTCTTGGAGAGATATCCGTGTGTTTTAGAAGCCAAGAAATTATATACGCAAGTAATGTAATGACCACATTTACATAGAAGCAAGTGATACCCCCACCCGTTTTTAAATACTAGTGGTTGCTATGTAAATGTTTGACATTTATACCGAACTTCATATAACGAAAAGCGCTGTATTCCGGCACAAAACCGGGACATATCAGTGACATTGCTACTGTAAAACAAAACAGAAATATTGACACAGATTTTGAAGGTCTCCGGGGCTGTGGATCTGTGTGGATGCTGTAAATAGTAAACAGTGTAGACTGTAGTCTGCAGAGAGTGCCACTGTGCAACGAGTAAATATACGTATATGTTAAAATAATAAATATATTATAATCTAAAAAGCTTCCAGCGCTACTACTTATATGCGCGACGTGGCTCTCCTCATTGGCAAAGCTTCCAAGTCACTAGACCGATTTAAGAGTAGCTACACTAGGAGTTGTACAAACACAATACTGTAAACATGGTGCTTCTATCTGCCGGTATATGTACCAAAAGCGGTAGAGCTGTGCTGGCAAGGCAATTTGTAGAGATGACACGTTCGCGTGTGGAAGGGTTATTCGCTGCATTCCCCAAACTTTTGTCTGAATCCCAGCAGCATACATTCGTAGAGACTGACTCCGTAAGGTAAGGGATATCTCATTTGTAGCGGTCGCCCATTTTGTCCGTCAATAGCTGTTGAGTATGTTTGTAACCCAGTAGAGCATCTTTATGTTTTATACAGATATAAATACATATATAAATGCATTATATAT